AGAGAGAGAGAGAGAGAGAGAGAGAGAGAGAGAGAGAGAGAGAGAGATATGCTAAATAGTAACCATCATTTACTTAGCACTTTTAAGATCTGCATAGTTCTCTACAACCATCTCGTTTGGTCCTCAAGGTACTGAGCACCTACTGTGTACAGGTGCTATGTTCAACACTGGGAGTATAACTGCGAAAGTATCACAGGCATGACTCCCACTTTACACATAAGAAAACAGGCTGGGAAACGTTAAGAAGACTTATCCATGGTCACACAATTAATAAGTACCAAGGGTGGGATGGGAACCCAGGTCTCTCCTGACCCCAAGCCCACGTTTTCTGCCCCTAGGCCTTGTGACAGGCTGTGCTTGTTTTCTGGGGTAGGCTTGGCACCGCCCCCCCCCCCCCCCCCCCCCCCCTTTTTTGGGGGGGGGGCCCCCCCCCCCCCCCCCCCCCCCCCCCGGCTGCTGCTTCTCTTTTCTCCAAGGCCAGCCCCACGGCCTGCTGATGAATGGCCAGCCGGGAGGGCGGACAGCAGCCAGCCAGCTCTGGGGTGTGGTGGCTCCATCGCAGCCAGGTGGCCCTGGGGATCAGATCCCCTCCCACCCCCTGGGGAGGCAGAGGCCTGGCCAGAGGAGCCGGTTGCTCTGGTTTGGGATGCCATCCCTCCTGCCCCTCCTGCCAGGCCGGCCCCTCACTCCGGGGCGCTGCCGGCCGGGCCTCCTCCCCCGCTCTGCCCCCCGAGCTGCAGTCCCGTCCTCCCAGGCTCAGACTCGGGCCCTGACAACCCCCGGCCTGGGTCCGGGCCCGCCGAGGCCTCACCTGCAGGGCCTCAAGGCTAGCGAAGCTGGCGATGGCGAAACCATCGATGAGGTCCTCCTCGTCGTCGTCCTCCTCCTCCTCCTCCTCCTCCTCCTCCTCCACCTCCTCCCCCTCCTCCTCTTCGTCGTCGTCCTCCTCCTCCCCTCGGCTGCCCGAGCCGGGGGGCCGCTTCCTGCCCCGGGGCCGGGGGGGCCGGCGCCGACGTCTCTTTCCCCGGGGGCTTCCTCGCTCCCCGGAGGAGGCGGACGACCACGGCCGGGCCGGGGGCGGAGGCGGCGGCGGCGGGGGCGGCGGGGGCGGGGGCGAGGACGACGACGACGACGAAGGCAGCAGCGCCGAGGCCGCCCCCAGCAGCGTCCGCGGCGCGTCCCCGGCAGCCGCCCGCCGCCCCCCGCCCC